CAAGCGATTAGGAGTTGGAATTGAGAAATGGGCATTGCATGGGGGGCCCTCTTGAGGAGCGACTGCCTGCAGAACCTTACCCACTAACTTTTGAACGTCTAACATCAACTGAGGGTGATGCTTGATTATGATAAGGAAGCATTCCATAACCTCTAACGATTCCTCATTCTTTGGTATGAATCTCTTGAATAAGGTAATTCAGTAAGCTCTCAGTTGGACTCAATAGGGACATTAGGTCCGATGCTTGTCTGTGAGGTCGAATTGGAATCTTCGAATAACTTGAACCATTTTAAGCATCCCTAGCAATAAGATACATGGCTTCCTGGCCATATGCATAGCAACTAAGCCTCTGTAGTTTTAGCTTTTCGAAGAAGTTAAGAAGAGAGGCTGTCGACAATACTGAACTTTGCCGACCTGACGCTCCTCTTTGAGCCCTCAGCTATTAGTGAAAACAGAAAATTCAAGAATACTAAGAGGAGTACCGTATAGGGCAAGGAATTCTCTGCAAACAGTTAAAACCCACTGGCAAAACTATTCTTCTTTAGCGTGATATTTCAAGTGAGAAAAAAACGCCATTGACTTATGGGCCGACGCAATGTTATGAAATGTTTTTATCATTTTCAAAATATATAGCATTGTAGCTTTGTTGCTCCTCAGCATACCTGTATCGCAATTCCATCTGTGTACCACTTGATCACCAACTTTGGCGTATGCAAGGATTTCACCATCTAGGGAATCCCTCCTAATGGTATAGGAACACGTCGGAGAGATCGAGCCGGTGGGTAATTGTTCGGATGGTAACATGCTGAAAAAGAAATGCATCGATCATAGTGAAAAGAATGGGTTGTTTCCAATAATAAGTAGATGAAGAACGGACCTGACGTAGAGTTTAGAGGTGATAGATTGTGAAGATTCTTTGTACATACACCTGACGTTAAACATTTTGTCCGCTTTGGTAATGAAGAGCTAAAAATGTCAGCGAACGCTTCATTATAATGAATTCTGTAAACAAAGCAAGCATTCCAGCTTCATTACAGTTAGTTTTTGTTGCAAGGTATTCAGAAGCTCCTTAAAGGGTCGTAATAAAAGAAGTTTAGGTGTTGTTCAGCACATGCGCTGTGTGGCATCCCTCGCGAAACCAAAGCGTATTAAAGGAATAATAGTTGAATCTTGCGCCGTTGTCAATCCTCTTGTGGATCGGCACGCGCGAATGCGAAACGAAATGGAGAGTAAACAGGGAAACTGAGGCAATGGTTTGGCAGATGAAGTTAGATGAGGGTAACGGGGGAGTATAACAAATGGTGGTACATCAGCAGTGAGTTATTCTTCGATTCCAAACACACATTGTGGCATAATGCAGTGAATGGGATGATGCCATAGTGAATAAAAGCGATATCAGGTATAAAACTTCGCCGTTCAATCCCTTTGGGATGCGGCACGCATTCTACTTCCATTCAGAATCGTAGTGGGTTATTGAATGCGATGTGGCCTATACAATGACTTGCGGTGGCCAGCCGATGTACAAGTCAGTGTTTTATCCTCCCAGACGAATCTGGTACCAATTCACCGTCCCCGGAGGGTAGAAGGCTTCGGTTGGCCTGTGCGCGGAGCTACGACGCCCGGGATTCGAACCGACCACGCCAAATGGTGACGCCCAGCACTTGCAGTGCACCATCTCGCCTCACCAAACATATTACCCACTATAATAGTTGAATTGAACCATCAGGGCAACCACACTCGGTATGCGGATTGGGTACTGGTCGCGAATGTAACGCATAGCCGAATCCGTATCTAATCTAACTTTCGCTTTTCGCCCGCGCCTCGATGTCGACTCTACGTTTTCTTCCCTCCTCCTCCAGCAGGGGTCATTCTTCCCAAAAGTCAGAGGGACATTTCATGATAGCAGGGTACTTATTTAGCTCTCACATCAAGTGGGATTGAGTGTTTTTATTAGGATTTCAGAGTTCAATACGTGAATGCCGTGTTCATCTGTTTTGCCAGCTTTGCGTTTTCAACCTTTCAATAGCAAACATACGGGATGAAAACTGATGACGAGAACTGTAGAGAGAATCATGCCTTCTGGAGGTACCTGAAAATCCAGTTAATTTTCTGCTGAACAAAAACGTGCCCAAATGGTAAGCAATTCGCTCAGGTGGTGTGGCATTTAAGGTTTGGAGGCGCGCGGCTTTCCGCTCGCGGGGTACAGCATTGTGATGGATGATAAGGCGGTGTCAGTATGTCATCCCCTCACCCTGAGAACTTCCCCCTCCGGTACGACTCCTTTGCCATCCTACTGATCAACTTTCCAAGTTTTTCCGGCTCACAGCAATAGTCTCAGTTTCCCTAAAATTTTCGCCGTTTTTCCCCCAAAATCGGCCGTCGAGCGAAGAGGCGTCGTCTACCATTCAAGTGCTCAGCAGGTGCGTGGTGCACTATTCTTTGTACCACGTACTAGGGGAGGGGTGTGCCTGAGTTCGTGCTTCCCCGTCGGCGCTTCTATGAAGATGCTGAGCATTTGAGAGAGCGAACAGGAACACCTTCGCGCTCCATCATCTATAGTGCGAGCACCGACTGAAGGCAGCGTTCAGACTTGTAGCGCTACAACTGTAGCGCTACGATCGTCGCGCTACGATCGTCGCGCTACAGCCGTCGCGCTACAGCTGTATCCAGCTTCCTTTTATATTGCCTACTGATGTTTGATTTCTTTGCTCGATGTCTTGCATTGGTGCCTCGTGTTGATCCCGATTGCGAAATTGTTTTCATTCCATTATTAAAATGTGGTAAAAAATGCGGTAAAGTAGAAAAGAGCTCAGCATCAGATAAATATGGCAAAAGAGGGTTGAATTCAGAAAGAAAAAATATAAAAGGAAGCTGGATACAGCTGTAGCGCGACGGCTGTAGCGCGACGATGTAGCGCGACAGCTGTAGCGCGACGATCGTAGCGCTACAAGTCTGAACGCTGCCTAAAGCACATCGTTGACGAGTTAAAATTACCAGTCTCTGTCTGCTCATGTTACATGTTCCATGCTCAATTTTTATTCCTCGTGTAGATGCTTGTCGAGCTACTTTGGAGGTGTATTCGACGCGACAATCGGGATGCTGGTAACTTCCTTTCACGTACACCTTACCTGAAGCAGATTGCAATAATTTGACACTGTGCTGTATTGAATATGCAATGGAACCGTTTTGACCCTTTCCTATACAAGCTTAACCTTCTCTCCGGGACCGAAATTCTTGTTAAGGATTGCGTCCATTCTTATGCATTAAGCGAATTATCAAGCGCGAACAAGTCTGGTTGATTCGTTTTTTAGCGTTGTAGTAGCGGTGCCACTCAAACCTATTTGCAGGGGCTTCATAGCATCGTGCAGAGAAGGATTCTAGTATAGCCTGGTTCCAGATAGTGTGCAGGTGTTCCGACAGATATATCTCCGAGAATAACCTTGGAATTCTTTCGTGGTTTTGAATCGCATTTCGATCGATTCGGCGTTGCACAGGATTTCTGGCCAACCAGAGAGCTCGTTATTCAACACATCAGCGCAAGTTATCTGGAAGAACAAAAAAATTGCTGCTCAAATTAATGACCCATGGACAAAAAAGTGATCAGTGAGGTGATTTTATGCAATGGCGATGCTATGGTTGACCGTATTTTTTGTTATTCAAGTTCTAAGCCCCTAAGTCCCCTAGCCCATAAGTTTATTTCACGTTAGTTCATTGCGGAAATTTCGCCCTACCTGAACAACAGTGGCAGTATACAAAAACATTCGCATCGCTATACTTGCCATCGTCCAGGCTTACTTAAGTAACATTCCTCCGTAAACGGTACATGTGACGCCTTTTCTTGCAGCCGAGCGATTCCCTGAAATCAGGTAGATTTCGCATGGAATCTGACCTCTGTGGGGTGCTGCATTTTCCTACGGCGACGAGTTAACGCAATAAACACTTCCTAGTTAATTGACTCGACAAACTGCAGATCTTGAAAGTTAAATCAATTACTTTCCATAGATGCCGCGCAAGTGACGCCTTTTTCCTCCAACTTAGGTCGCTTATCCCCCTTCGAAATTGATAGAGACTGGACAGGCACTGCGCCAAACCTGACCCCCCCCCCTCTATCCTTCCTGAACTGACACACTCCAGCATCCGCAAGCAAGACTCTACCTCACACTAGCAATGGGAAGAAAATAAATATCATACCAAAAACAATCGAAGCATTCGTAGCGTGTCTGAATATTCGAAACAGTGGAAAATGCCAAAATACAAGAACTTACAGAAAAAAAAACAAAAGCAATCATATGAAACTAATAACATCCCAACTTTTATGAGGGCTTTCCTGAAGTTCGAGAACTACTGAGTCGAGTCATGGCTGTGTTATGAGTGGTTTAGAGGTTTTCAAACTAATTGTATCTCAACAAGAAGAGATTTGGATCAGCTACAGTACTTGTCCCTGACAATGAGACAGACCAGGCGTGGTACTCGGACATGGCATAGGATGGGTCACTCGTGGGATACTTCAGTTTGAGAAGACTATCACCTTATTCTGTGCTAGACAAAGCCATCACTGCAATTGTCTCTAAAGCAAAATATTTCACCAAAAGACAACCACGCTTAGCTGAAATATGCAGCCACGCCTACCGCACCTCAGGGTTTTCGAGTGCATACAGGGGGCGCAAAAAAAGACACTTTGGCCGAGTCACATATCAGCAAAGTTTTCGCAGCCCAGACAGAAGACGTGGATACGAGTACCAGGGCGGAAGATACCCAAGATGTTCCTCGATAAGCAGGAGCAGGCTCTCGCCCATCACCTTCATGTACACCAATATGAAGTCATCTCCAATCGCAACCGAACTGAAAAAGGCCTATGGAATTCACGTCACCTCCAAACAGCTGCGAAACTTCTTGTATGGAGTCACCCATGGACAGCTACCTGGAGACCAGCACTCTTGATCTGGAAGACCTCCAACATCGAGCAGCTCCGACAACGTCGCTACGGTCCAGGACATCATCTTCACCGCAGTCGCCAAGGCGCGGGTTGATGGTATGGAGAAGTTCCTGGAATGGAAGACTCGGATATTTTTCTTCGTGAAGCGGCCGAACTGAAAGTGAGCGCTGCCTGCTACATCGAGCAGCTTGAGAAGAATGTCCTGGTTTTCATGTTGTCGCCCGTACCATCTTGGAAACTTCGTACTGCTACAGGATTGGGTGTCACCACATGGAATCGAAGGGCGTTGGAAAAACTCTCGCCTACTTGGAATTGAAGGGCTGGCAACCGCGCTGGCGCTGGAAAAACCGAATATCTAAGTGTGCCACCTGCCCTAAACCCCCTCGATTACCGGGTTCGGGAAGGAGCTCAACAGGGTGGTCTACAGTGGCGGAGAAATCAACGACCTCGCTGAACTCAGGCACCGAATCACGGTCGCGTGGCAGAATCTCTCGATGGCCTTCGTCCAGAAGGCTTTGGCGGAGTTTCGTGATCGTGTACAATGTGTTGTTGAATTTGATGGTGGAAATGTCCAATCAGAATTCAATAAATGTGTAGCTTATATCGCCTTGAAAGTCGAGGGAAAAAAAGCGTCTTTTTTCTTAGTATCCTCCGTGTATATGTATTAGGGTTGTCCGGAAAGTTCTGCACGTTTTGAGTGTTTCAACTTTAAACGATCATAACTTTCTTAACACTCATCGGATTTAATCCAAATAAGCACCATTCGAATCAGCACACTTTTGCCAATGTGACAGCAGTCGAGAAATCCCATCAAAGTAAAAAACTGGGTGGTCGAAAATTCACGAAATCCACTAAGGCTTTTTTGCCTGGTCCTGATTGATGAAGTATTTTCCAGCAAGGGAGTTCTGAAAATGTTAGAAAAGGTGATAGTCGGTTGGCGAAAGGTCTGAAGAATATGGCGGTTGAGGTAGAACTTCAACCCCCAATTCGTTCAATTTATGGATAGTGATTTGTGAAACGTGTGGGCGGGCGTTGTCATGCAAAAGAATCGGACCCTTTCTTTTGATAAGTGTTGGCTGCAGCTGACAAAATTTTCGGTACATTTCGTCGATTTCTTCACAGTTCTGCTGTGATGGTTTGGCCTGGTGATAAAAAGTTATAGTGGATCACACCAGCCGATGACCAAGCCGTGACCAGAATCTTTTTTCGTGAGGGTTCGGCTTTGAAAATTACCTCGGTGGTTCGTCGGAATCAACCACTGTCCGGAACGTCTCCTGTTATCATACATGATCCATTTTTCATCACAGGTGACAATTCGGTTCAAAAACGGGTCGTTTCTGTTGCGCAAAAGCAGTGAAGAGGAAACCGCGAGACGTGCCAATTTCTGCCGGTCACTCAAATTGTGGGGCACCCACTTATCGAGTTTTTTCACCTTCCCAATGCGTTCCAGACCATCTGCAACAGTGGATTTGCCAACGCCTAGCTTTTCTGCAATCTCTCGAACTGTTTGGGATGGGTCAGCCTCCAAAATCCCCTTAAAATCCTCGTCAGATATTGCTTTAGGTCGACCGCTATGAGGTTCATCTTCAAGGCTGAAATCTCCAGAAATTTGTTGAGCCATTGCCGCACAGTGCTTTCTCTAGCACTATTGGGCCCCACACCTGGTTAATTTGTTGAGCTGTTTCGATTGCGGATTGCCCCAATTTATAGTCGAAGAAAAAAATCGTCCGAAGTGCTCTTTTCACATGCTTGAAAAAATCTTGAAAAAGGGGGTTTATCAAGCAATGGTGAAACGGCAATTATACCATCAGATAGCGCAAAAATTCTCTTCAGGATGTACTACTACCATCAGATAGCGCCGTACATTCTCTTCAGGATGTACTACTGAGACGCAAGGGAGTGAGTTTTTAATCAGCAATGAATGTTCAAAAAATAGTAACACAAAACGTGCAGAACTTTCCGGACAACCTAATACCATCTTCATCGCTAAGTCATTGCCAGCGACCATGCAAAGAGTGCTTGCCTTGCTTCCAGAAGCATTCGGCTTCTTACCGAGAGAAGCAGGTAAGCCAATCTAGAGGTGCTTTCAAAAATCGTGCATTTAAAGACACATGGTACGCTAAACACATTGAGGGTGTATGAGACTAACAGCCCCCAGCTGTCGATGTGTCGTGGTTTCCCCGCCCGAAACTGCACGGGGTTCCTAGTACGGGACCGTGGGAAAGGCTTATTCCTTGCTACACCGCCCAAAATGCACCGCGCGCAAGTTGCATTTCGCCGCGCGCAAGTTGCATTTTGGGCGGCGTAGCAAGGAATAAGCCTTTCCCACGGTCCCGTACTCGGACCCCCGTGCAGTTTCAGGCGGGGAAACCACGACACATCGACAGCTGGGGGCTGTTAGTCTCATACACCCTCAATGTGTTTTGAGCGTACCATGTGTCTTTAACCGGAAGATTGCTGCTGAAGAAATAGATGGTATAGCATTCAAAAGAGATCAAGTCATGGCAGTATGAAGGAGGCGGTAGAAATTATCAATCAAGCATCAGGATCTCAAGCTGTATCGTTTTTGAAACGTGTAGTGCTGAGTTTTCGTACACAAGTAGATTTCTCTGAATGTGGGGTCATTTGGTGACACTTGCGTTCATAGGTACATAGTTCACTACAATAGGATTCGCTGATAACTATAGCGTCAAGAGAAAGAAACCCCTGCGGTACATTAGACAAACGTCTCACCACATGCAAAGCATTACATCCTACTGAGTTATCACACCCTATTTCCAATGCTGACCTTTCTAATGGAATTGGCCATTAGTGCTCAGCGATTGATCTAAGTAGATGCGCTCCCCCATGAAAATCGGTCAACTCGAGGTTAATCCTTTGACAGAACTTCAGTTTTCTGAGCGGCTGAGGTCCTCTCTCATTTGCACTTGTGGAACAGGCAACTGTAGTGGCTAAAGAGCAAGTCGGTTTGTAAGATGTTGGCTTTAGTAAGAGAGCGCAGATGGCTTACCTGGTTTGTCTCCAAGATAGAAGTGGCTCAAGCAAAAGCTAACCGCGCCATTTCTCTACCGTACTAGTGGAGGTAGGACCAGTGGACCCAGGTCAGGGCAAATGTCGCGTGTAGCTCCAACCACACAGTGTTCCATATATGTATACCATTTTCACTTTAGATTCACCACTTTTCAAAGCAAGCTCACCACTGCTGTCATTAGACCAGTGCAATTCACCGACCACATCGCGCCCAGACCACTGCGAACCGCTGTCCCGACGGTCACGCCTACTTGTCAACGCGGACATAGATTTTCAACGAATGACTGACTCCGCCCATTCCTTAAAGATTGTTGCGAACTTCAAATTCTCACAACTTTTTCAATTCTTTACAGTTTCACATCCACTCTCTTCGCACAACGCGAAGGCTACCGTAGACACGCAACTTCATGCACCGCGCAATTTAGGCCCGCCCCCTTGGCCACGCCCTCTGCTATTTCGCAGAATTCCATTGATATTTTTTGAAATTTTTGCAATTTTTGCACTGCGCAGTGCAAGCCGCACCACTATGGAGAAACTCGACCACTTCGGAAGAACCCGCACCACTTTCAAAGCATGGCAACAAAGCAGCTAATAGGAGGCTTGGCATTGCAAAATCGGCCAAAAAGGGATTAAATCTTATTGCTGGTCATTAGGAACAAACTTTGCCTGATTTATTTGTTCCGAGTCACGGACGAGACCCTAGCATGAAAGCCAAGGCCCTATACTGCCGATTGGCACCATTTTTGAAAAGTGGGCGGCGGCCTCCGAAGTGGGCGGAGCCTCTCATAGTTGGCGGGGCTTCACGGGCAGTCCAAA